ATACTTTAGTTCTGATCTATATGTTTTACATTTACTGTACAACATATACTCTAAAATTTTCAGACACTTTTATGAATGTGTTTTATTTATTTATTTTCAAATTTTTTGACTATGCAATTATATATTTCTTTCCTTTATGGGTGGTCAAATGGTAAAATCCTTGATTGTATTCTACATTTTTTCTCCTTCATTTAAATACTTTTTGAGACAATTAATGATAATTCACTGAATATTATTGTTTAAAAGATCTATACATTTATGAATATTACATACATGTCTAACCAACCTACAGACAACACCACATGAGTAAACAAAAGCAAAACCTTTTTTCACAGTCTTAATTTTGTGATATTGTTGCTCTATAAACTACCTCCTGTCTTCCTGTTTTTTCTTACAAAAGCATATGTTGCTCCTCCTGCATCCACTGTGCCTGCCTCTAAAAAAACACAAATAAAAGAAGAGAAACATGTCAAACAGGCACAGATAGTTTCTCAGTTTAAGCCAGTTAGCTTATAGAGTTCACTTTTGTTTAAAATCTTTGGGTGATAAATTTTAAAATGCATCTGCCTGACAGACAATAATTTTGCAGATTTTATGCTACTACTACTACTGATAATTTCCATTACCTCTCTTCCAGTAACCTTTTCCAAAGTGATGCAGTCCCACTGTCACCAACAGAGCACTGACTAAAATGGTTGCAATGATCCAAGGTGTGGCAGCAGAGGAGGAATGAGTCATGTCTGGTTTGAAAGCACAGAAATGTTTAAATGAGACAAGAATGGTAAATCATCAAAGGTTAATTTTAGTTTCTTTGTTATGACATTTAAAAATCTTACTAATCAACTTAAAAGCTTCTAAAACGCGATGGAAATGTTGGCACACCTGTTTTAGTTGTTTAAATCTGCAACTTAGGTTTGAACACTGGAAACTTGTCGGTAGTTTAAAGACGCTAACACAAACAGATTTAACAGATTTAACTTTGCATGAAGAACATCTAATATCATTCATATCACCTTATTTTAAAAACCTTATTTTCAAACATCTCAGTGTCTCACCTGTGACTTTCAGCCAGCTCTGTGGTGATTCTCCAGCTCCTGAGATGCTACACTTGTAAAGTCCTTCATCTGACTTTGAAACTCTGTGGATGGCAATGTTTCCTGTGGAGCTTTGATAGATCAGACGTCCATCTTTGTAGAAATCAGCTGTTAAGTTGGAGGAAGCTGTTTTGTTTCTGCAGCTCAGAGTCACAGTTTCTTCCATTAACACAGGAACAGCAGGACTCTCCAGGATCACAGGACCAGCTAAATGAGATGCATTTGATAATTATATATTATATTCAATCAATATTGTTCAGGATATAATGTTACCTTGATGAAAATATACCAGTGACAGAGAGGATGATAATGTTGCTTCTTGTCCTTCCTCCAGTCTCATACCAGTACTCTCCACTGTCGTCTGTATAAACATTTTTAATCGTGCAGGATGATCCTGTTGGTGTTCTCTCATTCGTTTTGTTACATGATTTTACTTTCCCTTTGTATTTCTGCACAACTTCACAATAATCGACTCCTTCGCAGTGAAATGTTACTGATTCATATTCAAGAAACTGCAATCTGTTTGGAACAACAAGAAGAGAAACTGCATCTGAAACAGAAAAACAAAAGACTCACTTTAGACTATTAAACCAACATACTACACTCATTGAATAAAAAATAAATAAATTAAACAATAAAAACATCACAAAAAATCTAACTATTTCCTATAAATTAGTTTCTTTTCCAAAATGTGAATTAAAGTTGATATATATGATAAATCTCACCAACTTTCTCATCCTGTACGTCCAGCAGAATCATGATGCTTATCACTAAAGAAGATAAAAGACCTACTTAGTTACTAAAACATGTATAATTACTAAAAGTAATACTAAAAATACCACATCTGATATGGAGTCCACAAAAATACAATAGCCTACTTTAATAACCTAAATTTATTTATTTATTATTAATGTAGAACTAGAGAAAGTACTCACACAGTCTGATGCAGAGAGCTCTGATCTCCATGTCGTCTTGATGTAGACGGAAAAC